ATATATATAGTATTGTTAATAATTAAAAATATATTTTACATAATAAATCAATGTAAAACTTATTTGGACTTAAAATAAAGTTCATTTATTTTTATTTTTTTGGGGGTAATTAAGTGAGGATGACAAGCTCCTTACGTTTTTAAACTAATTAGTGGTTTTTGAAGCTATTAATGAAAATGAGCGCCACAATGTGCCACTGACATATGGGGTGTGCTATCACTACCACGTCAGCCCCCTTTCCCAACTAGGCTCAGACTTCGATCGAAGAAAATTCAAAAACCTTCCCTATTTAGGTTTCTACTCAGCACTTGTCCATATTTGCGTGTCATGTTACAATTACATGTGAACAAGATATTCAACATCTGTAAAGACTTCTTATTATACTTTAAAGGAACAAGCTTGGCAAAAAAAATAAGCAAGACTTGTAGACAAGCACCGGAAGTGTTTGGCTGTTTGCTTAACTCCCAATACATCTAGACCTAAGGGTCTCTTTTTCCTTTTATTAAAGAATAAAATACTCCTAATGATAGAAATTTATGCCATAACTTCCAAGTGCGTGATTTTCTCAAATGTTTCCCCATCTAAATACACCACCAAAAACCCTATTTCCCCATCACCAAACCCAAATGAAAAGAAGAAAAAAAAAGAAGAAGTGATCCGACATAGATTTATGGAGACGATCCTCCCCCACCTATCAGTGCTTCCAAACATTAGTTAAAAGGATGAGAGAACTTTAAAGGAATTTATTATTTTTTCCATATTTTCAATTTTCCAGTGAGGAAAACTAAAATTGATAAGAACCGGCAAGCCAGTGTTTCGACATGAATCTATGGAGATGCTCCACCCCCACCAATCAGTGTTTCCAAACACTAGTCACCAATCAATGTTTCCAAACACTAGTTCAAGAGACGAAAGAATTTTAAAAAGGAGTTTATGATTTTTTTCCCTTATTTTCAATTTTTCTATATAAATAAAAGGAATTCAATTCTTTGCCCCTATTTCTTTCTTTGTCTTTAAAGTTCTTTTTTGTTTCTTTTTTGAAAAAATAAAAATCTTACGAAAATGAGATTGTATACAATAACACCATTTACTTTTAATACAAAGAAGTCACAATTACTTACAACAATCTAAAATGAAAATCTGATAACTTAGGTGTATAACAAAATTTGAGAAAATTTCTTTTAAACTTTGAACTTAGTCCATAGAATAAATGTAGCTGTCTAATTTCACATACAATAGTCAAGATGAATTGTAACCGCTTTGTACCAAAGATAAATGATCTGATTTATGCTTTTTAAACGAAATTTATTAACATTTGAATCTCTCCGTCCAAGGAAAAAAAACAAAAACAGTTTGAAATTTTTTGGCAAAGAAATTAACTTAAATATTCTAAGAAATTCAATCTCACAAGTCCGTTAGAGATCCTCATTTGATCAGAGCCGTCCATTTAACTAAGCAAACCTCGAGCAAAGTGGACAAAAAAACATTCCATTACTGACAGGACTCTTCTCGCTAATAATTGACGGCTCAGATCACTCTTCTCCAATCGAGCGGCTCTATGCGAGAGCAAGCACTTTCTAGAACCAATCTGGACCTCTGATTTGTTAAGATGAAAACAGCGTGCCGAGGAGGTAGGCATGACTTTGACGCATGAAATCAACGTGGAATTTCAAGGGAAACACCGACCGCGTTTCAGATGTAGACATGTGGGTCCTAAAATTTAGCATTGGACCTAGATTACCCCTATCTTGAAAAAAAAGATTCCTTTTTTGCCCCCTACTCATCCAATAAATGTGGAGTAGGGGATGTTGAATATGGGAATGGACATTTATCCACACAAGTCAAAGCATAAGGAATGACCAAATTTATCCAGGACAGAGGAGAAGATAATAGAGAGAGAGACTAATTGCGTTGATGAAGGTGAATGGTGATTCTTTTTTTTCATTCATTTGGTCTATGAATGGATGCAAATGGATAGTCATCTGAAAGCAATTGTAACTAACGGTTTCGATGTTTTTTTACTATATTTTTTATTTTTAATTTTTAAATAATTAATTTTTTTTATATTCATGATCTCCATGTTAAAAATTAATTATATATTATCTAAAAATAAAGATCAAATTAGATTTAAAATATATATTTATTGCCAACCCCGCATTTCTACAATATCTGGTTTGGCCGCCGCAACTAAATATTGTTACATGGGTTTTAAAAAAGGAAAAGGTTTATATGGAGCCGAGGCTCTAAACAATCCAATTGGAGCTTACCTCAAAAAATTTACTAGAAGAGGTTGTTTTGATGCTCAAATATCCTCAAATTGATCATCTCGACATCAAGATGCATGGACATGAGAAAAACATGGATTTCAAGTTTTCGAAATAATATAGTTTGAAATGCTTCTTTGGACCGTCATTGTCAAGATTTTCAAGTTTTCATAGATATGTCGATTTACACTATTTTTTTAAGCTTTAAACTTTATAAATAAAGATGAAAATATATGTTAAGGCTATCATAAAGATTTTCAGTATTGAAATATTTTTCGACACTACGCTCTAATTTGATTGTTTAGAGCCTAGGCTCTATAAAAACCGCACCCCTTGTAGGATCACAAACTAACAAAATAATGTTCCAAAGGATTCGAAACTCCCGCATGAGCATACTTTCTATTTACTCCGTCAAATAAAATCTAATCTAGGAGTACTTTTAGGATCACAAACTTTGGGAGTGTAACATAACCCACTATGCACTTGAAAAAGTAATATCTCAGTATTGAACAGAGACTGTTCAATTCATTGAGGGTGAGATCTAAGTGCTAAAAAAAATTAAAATTTTAAAAAAAAATTAAAAAAATAATCATCCTACAATTTTTAGATTTCCCAATTTAATCAATTTTTTTTTATAGATTTCTATTAATCTTTTGATTAATACTTCCCAAACTTTTACATTTCAAAATAATCATCCTCTAGGTTTTTTTGCATGAGAGAGTAGATAGATAGTATCTGCTCCCATGGGAGTATTCTATATGCGTTTAAATAATAGGGAAAATGTACAATGAGACCATTTACTTTTAGTAATAAGGAAAATGTACAATGAGACCATTTACTTTTAGTACAAAGTTTTTACAATTAATTTTGAACATTGGATGTGAAATTACGATGGATGCAATTACTTCATTGACCAAGCTCAAAGTTCAAAATAAATTTTTTCGAACTTTGTGATATACGGTCCAAGAATATATCATCAGATGTACTATTTTTAAAATTTGAAATCCTTTTTTTTTTCTCATGTCCATGCATCTTGAAGTCAAGATGATCAATTTGAAGATATTTGGACATAAAAACAATATCTTCAAGTGAAATTATAAGGTGGGCTCTAATTTGATTGTTTAGAGCCTCGGTTCTATATAAAATTTTTCCTATCCTTTTGTTGCCACATAAATTAGTGCTCCATCAGGTTGAGAGAGAGAGAGAGAGAGAGAGAGAGTTTTGAACAGGTACACGAATTATCAGTAGAATAGTGTGTGTGTGTGTGTTTTTTGAATAGGTACACGAATTATCACTTGATTGGGTCTATGAACCTCGTGCATTTTGGATCATTAGATCAAGTGTTATATGTTGGACCATCGCTGGACGGGTTTGAATTCCTGAGCACGTGAGCCGAGACGAAGTGAGAAACCACGTTAGGCGGCGTGTACCTTCCGCCACCGCTAGGGGCAAAAATGTCAATTATCAATAAAATCATTTCTTCCCAGTTACGAAATCGTGGCCGGATGTTTCCCATCATTTTCCTCTCTTGTTATAATGCTGACACAAAGAGCTGACGTATGACTTTATGACAACCAAAGCACACATCTGACCCTCTATTCCACATCCAACGATGCTTACTCTCTTTCTTTCTCTCTCTAAAACTCTCTCTTTTTCTGATCTTTGCAATATATTAATTTGTAAACTGAACCTATATATAAAGCCACACGCGGAGAGGAACGAATTCCAAATCCAGTTTCTCATTTCCGATTCTCTCTCTCTCTCTCTCTCTCTCTCTCTAACTCTTCTGAATCTAATGGAAGAAGCTTGGGTCAGTACTTCTCTTGGATTGGATCTAAATACGGATCCTCATCGCTCTAATGAACTAAATGTAAGCAAAACCCAATTCATTCCTTACCTGAACCATCAATTATCTACATATCGTGTTTACTGATATAATATCTTTTGAAACAGTTGGGATTGGAGTTCAATTTCATGGACCCCCAAAAGAAGACCTCAACAAGCATAAAAGATGAGGTAGCGTTAATTTCATACATTTTCGATATATTTTCCGCTTTTCGAATCGAAATTCGGATGTTTTTTTCTGTGAGATTTGATTTAATGTTTTTCGCTCTAGGCTGGGGATCTTGAAGCCGAGTTGAAAAGAGTACGCAGAGAGAATGAGAAGCTGGAAATGATGTTGGGGGTGATGACAGAGAATTACATAACTCTGCAAAATAAAGTAGCCCAGTTAGCGAGGGAAAGGGAGGAGAGAGAAGCAACCACAACAAAGAAAAGGAAGGAGGAAGCTCTCCATAACACAGATAGCAGTTCAAGCGAAGAAGAATCCTGTAAAAAGCCAAGAGAATCAGCTAAAAAACCTTGTGTTTCTAGGGCTTATGTGCGCACTGATCCTTCAGACCATAGCCTTGTAAGTATCACCATTTTCTACAAAAACAAAGTAGCGGTTTTGGAGAAGGCTAAAATTGTCATTACAGGGTAGTGGCTATCTTGATAAAAAATAGGAAGACAGGGGAGGATAGAACTTCCCCTGTAGGAGGACAAAGAAAAGCTTTCTTTCTATACATTGGGTGTCGTTTGTATACAAACCTCGGCTCTAACCAATCAAATTAGAGCCTACCTTCAAATAGTGTCGAAAAATGTGGTTTTGGAAATCTTAGTAATAGTCTTAAAATATATTTTTATATTTATTTATAAAATTTAAAACTTTAAAAATAGTGTAGGTCGTTACATTTATAAAAACTTGAAATTTTAAAATTGATGGCTAAAAAATACGTCACAAAATATACTATTTTCAAAACTTGAAATCTATTTTTCTTTTATGTCCATGCATGTTGATATCGAGATGATCGATTTGAAGATATTTGAGTATCAAAACAACCTCTTATAATGAAATTTTTGAAATAAGCTCAAATTTGATTGTTTAGAGCCTCGATTCCGTATAAACTTTTTCCCTTATAAATTTAACTTTGGGAAGGGTAAAGCAGTCATTTCTTTTGGAACAGTTCAGATATTTATAAAACCATACGGTTTTTTTATTACTTATTTCATGCCCCTTCTAGTAGGTCAAAAATAAAAGTCAAGGAAGAAAAGGTCCGCATTTTCTTAACTTTTCCACGTAAGATGAGGATCGTGTGTTTGGCATTCGCCTTGTACTATTGAAGTAAGGTGTACTATTAAATTTTCGAACATGTAGCTTTCGTGTTGAAACCTTAAAGTTATGTTCAACTCTATTTATAAAATTTTAATTTTTAAAAGAGATGCGGATCAGACAAATATGTGAATATTTGAAAATGGACCATCTAGATAACTAATTAGAAGATGCATGTTTTTACGATTTGAGGTTTTTGGTTTTTTTATTCTTTGCATCTATACATCGGAACCTGAAGATCAATTGAAAGATTTTCCAACTTTGGAATGCCAATTTTTACGATTTTTTGAAGTGCATATTACCTCTATAGTACAAGGCTGCGTCTGTATACAAAATTTTATATATATATATATTGGGATGAGGAAACAGCTCCGCTTTATGCTGAAATTTACGAATTTGCCCCCCTTTTGAAGCTGGTCCCTTTCTAAAAATGACCAGTACAATTTCCTAATGCATATATGATTGGCTCAGGTGGTCAAAGACGGGTATCAATGGAGAAAATATGGGCAAAAAGTTACAAGAGACAATCCCTCACCTCGAGCCTATTTTAAGTGCTCCTTTGCACCTCGCTGCCCAGTTAAAAAAAAGGTACAATCTCTCTCTCTCTCTCTCAATTGCCAAAAAAAAATAGTTTTCTTTACCAATACTTATTTTAGAAATTATGGTTCTCATGAATATTATGTAAAAATGATATTCTACTCATTTGCTCAATATTCCTTGATTTTTTTTTTTTTATATTACTAGAAGTAGGTTCATGTCTAAAATAAATTTAGAACAAGAAAGATTAGTTATCTTAATTATAAAGGGACCGAATTGATAAAAGGCGGCGGCTTAGTGATTTTATATTACAGAATTCGAACCATGTGCATGGTATTCTTCTTTTTAGTAGTTGGAACACAATTTCTTTTTAGTAGTTGAAATTTGAAACACTATGGTCTTCTTTTTCTTTTTCTTTTTTATTTTTATTTGACAAAAAGTGACATTTTTTTTTTCATTTTTATAATACTTTATGTCGACTCCTACCACTAAACTACTTCAAAAGGAAGATCTTATTTTGACAAAAAGGATCGTGAAAACATTAGTCTCATAGAATCCAAGAAATCAAAAGTTTGGTACATGTATCTGATGCTATGGCTCATGCATTAGAGTTCTGATTGTTATGGTTATGGATTTTATAGGTGCAAAAGAAGGCGGACGATCCGACGGTCCTTATGGCAACTTACGAAGGGGAGCACACGCACCCGCCTCCTACACCACACGATTTGCTGACTCCTTTGACACACAACTTGCCCGTCTCTTTGCCTTCAACAGCTTTGCCAGTGTTTTCCGGTGCAATTCCTCGGGAGGCTACATTTCCTGTGATTAAGCCAAATTTTCGGAAAATTGGTCATGGTTTCGAAGAAAAGATTGATAGTGTTTGTGATTTCCCGCAATTGTTAATACAACAATTGGCTTCTACATTGACAAAAGATCCTAATTTCAACACAGTGTTGGCAGCTGCCATTACAGGACATACATCTTCACTTGGCATGTCACGAAGAGATCCATGAAATTTTAATGGTTGGAAATTACAAATCAAATTTTGGTGTAAATACAAATTTAGAGTGAACTATTTTGTTAATTGTGGTATAAAATGCTGCGTTTAGCGTCTCACCTTCATTTCTAGCATATACGAGTGATATTGATGCAAATTTGTACGAGTGACATTTTGATGCAAATTTGAAGCTTCAGTGTGGATTGTTCTCCAGCAAGAGGTTCATAAAATACCATAATTAAGCACTTATTTCAACGTAAAAAATATCATATACAGCATTAAATTAACATTGTTCTCCAGCAAGAGGTTCATAAAATACCATAATTAAGCACTTATTTCAACGTAAAAAATATCATATACAGCATTAAATTAACATTCGTTCCAAAAGCAAATGGGGAATTAAATCGCTTCTTCCATGATTGGATTTTTCATTTTTCATAATTCATAACGTTTATAGGTTACTCTTAGGATTTAATAGCCTTCGTAGATGCGGAAACAAAAATCCCAAGAGTTGGATCCCACCAAGATTGTATACAGTATCAAAACATATACATCATAAGGGCACAAAGATTTACGTGATTCTCTCCAAGAGGGCTCCATAAGCATGATAAACTAAAATCCAATATACCTGAAAGTTACATCAAATATTTTAGGACATAGTGTTATCTCTTTAATCCTCGATAAAATCCAGTCATGGCATCACTTGTAGATCTCTTATCTTTATTCTACAGCTAAACCACTGCCCAAAACCCTATTATATAATCCTTTTTAGACACGCTCTTCCGATTGGCACCACCTGCTAATCTCTCATCTTTATTCTCTAGCTAAACTATTGTCCAGGAAGTGATCAATCTCTATTCCACACCTAAACCACTTTCTAGGAAGAGAATCTTGAGATCAACTGAGACTTTTTCATCACTAAAAAAAAAACTACAAAAATTTCTGTGGAACCGTTTATTTACAAGAAACCAACCCCTCACTCTGCAAGGGCTAAAAATTTCTGTGGAACCGCTTATTTACAAAAAACCAACCCCTCACTCTGCAGGGGCCTATTATAGTGTTTCTCTCCATAGTAAGTTCTCTTTTCTTTAAGGGTGTATTTATTCGCAGGAGAGAAACTTCAAGAAAGATAATTTTCCTAATACTGTAGCAGTTATGTGTTTGGCTGCACAGGTAATGGGAACTCAAACTTTTCCCAAAGTTTTCTTTGGCCTTTTAAAATGAGAAAGTTTTAAGTGCCTTGGAGGGGGCCTAGGAACCCAAATTCTCCGAACGTTTTTGTCGATTACTGCTCCTGGCGATCACTATTCACTATTAACTATTTAAGACATAACACATATTATATATATATATATATATATATTAAATACTATATTTAGTATACAAATTATATTTCAACAATATTTAATATATAATATATAAATAATATATTACATAACTTTAGATAATATATATAATATAATACATGAAATTGGTATTATTAATATAAAATATATTATATTATGTTATATATATCATATATTTTATATTTCTATTGTTAATATATATTTGTTATCAAACACAATTACCCAAAACTTATCTAACATTCCAGTAAGTTATCAACCACAGTTGATCAAAACTTCTTTAAACTTTTCAGAAGATACATTCCACTTCCAAAGAAAGAATAACTTATTCTTTTCAGGGAATGTTTATCTTCCAGCTTACAAACACACCCTTAGGGGAAGCATTCCCTCTCATAGCCTTTCACAAGACTCCCCTGCCCCCCCCCCCCACCCTTAGGGGAAGCATTGCCTCTCATAGCCTTTCACAAGACTCCCCTGCCCCCCCTCCCTCT